CCGGCTGGCGCCGGGATTTCGGCCGCGAAGTTTTCTTCGCCCCTGTACTGTGATGTAGTCGGGCTCTGCGGGGTTCGCTTCTCCGGCGGGTAGGAACTCTGAGCTGTGCTTAACTCTGCAGAGTCAGGGGAAGAAAGCTCTCTGGGAGCACCAGGAGGAGGAGGCAGGGATCCCTCTTGTGTTCCTCAGGTACATAGTGTTTTAGATATACTCAGAGATAGGCTTAGATGGAGACGGATACAAAATTGGGCAAGAAATAGGCTCTTTTTCTTTGAAATAGCTTGCATTCGAAACGCATTTTTTTTCTTTCCTCTGCATAGCGTGGCGACGTTATGGTAAGATTTTAATTTGAGCTTGAGTGACAGCTGAGTCATCTGAATAGTTTGCAGTACAGAATGTGATGAATGAGTTTTACAGAAACACATTTTTCCAAACACTTCCAGACAGGAAATCTGGGGACACTTGCAGAGTCAATGAGAGCCTTACCTTTCAGACTTATTTTAAAGAAAGCAGAGATTAGGGCAATCCCTATTTAAAGGGCAGCTTTCCACGGGTACAAGGGAGAAGTATTTCCAACAGGAATTAACTGCCTTTTGTGCCTTCAAACACTTCTGCTTGTAACCAGGCTGCTGAAGCGACGGCTGTGTGTTCGTTTACTTGCTTTAATCCCCTCTCAAAGTGTTTTTGTGAGAGCTGTCCCCTGGTTCCCTGTGGCATGCTGCAAAGTGGCAGAACGCCTGTCACCGGGATGAGCAGGATTTAGCCCTATAAAAATATTGTGTTGAATACTCGGTTGTGATTTACTGTCGAGTTAACCAATGCGTGTCCAGCTCGGCCTCCTGCCCAGTTTTGCCCACGAACGCGCGCGGCGCGTTGCCAAAGCTCTGCAAAAACTTAAACTACGCCGAATAAAGTGCCCGGTGGTTTGAACGCCGGCGGGGGAGAAGGCTCTCAAACGAGGTTGCGTCAGGCAGGGATTCGCTTCCTGAGATTCAGCTGTTGCGCTGACCGAGTTTAGATCCAGCCGCCGAGATGGGCATTTTCTGCACGCCAAGCGCGGACGCCCTCCCAGCTGCCGCCCTGCGCGGCGGCCAAGCCGGCAGCCGGGAACGCGGCGCATACCTCGCCGGGGCTGACTCCCGCCCGCGCGGCGGCCGGTGGGACCCACTGCCGCAGGCTGCGAGTAGGATCAGGATTTGGGCTTGAGACTCTCAAATGACCCGAGAGGCTGTGTGAAACTTTTCCTGTCCTTTCTTCTTTCTTTGTTTTGGAGCTGCGCTCTGGATTGTTTTGTCTTCCATCTTCGCTTTAACTGCCAGGGCGGGCGGCCAAAAATTCCCTGCCCTGTTACCTGATTTGTTTTGGGTGATCACGTGGGATGGTGAAAATGAGCAGACTGACACTTTCTTCTAAACAGCGAATTACCAAATAGGTTTAGTAAGTATCTACTTCTAATTTTCCTTCCCTCTCCCGCCAGTAGAAGAGTATTTAATTGAGCAAAGCTGTGTATTAATGAGTGCCCAAGACACTTGTTTTCTTAAACACGTAGGATGCCTTACATGCGTCCATGGGCGCTTATCCCTACTCTTAAAAAATAGTTTGTTGCCTGAAGTCATTCTGCAGCAGAGCGAGAGCGACGCCTGTTCTTTGAGCAAGGTGCACGTCTTCCCGCCCATGTTCTGCTCTGGCCGTCCCTTCCACGCGCCCCGAGGGACTGACATAGCACTTAGCGCCTGATGGAGTTGGCCCTGGAGCGTACGGCGACTGTGATCAATCAGAAGTGGAAAGGGGACGACGTAGGAGTCCGGAATACTGATGTTTTCTGTTTGTCTGGGTACACACGAAAAACCTTTTTAGCAGCGTGGGTGACGAGCTCCCTAGAGAAGCGGTGAATTTTCCATTTCTCCAGATGACGAAGAACGGACTGCAGGTGCCTTTCTGGAAGATGTATTTTAATTGAATAGAAATATGGAGCTCCGTGCAGAATTATTGTCAGGATAAGTCCTCAGGGACGTATTACACACAAAGCCAAGTCATCGAGGATCTAATTGTCTCTGACGAACCTCAAAAATCTGTTAATCCCATGTGTTTTTTCTTGTAATATTCAAAAAAGTATTGATATGAAAATGATTAATAATGTACTTTATGTGCAGAATTTCCCCTGTGGAGGCATTTGTGCTAATGCACAAAAACATATCCAGCCATCTTAAATTATAGCCTGATTTTTGCATTTTATTGCCTGTTTTGAATGGGAAGTCTTTTCAGGTGCTCAGGCTAAATAGTCTGCTTCTGAAGAGCGCGATAATAGACGTAGATAGCGGTGGACGTGATGGGAACTATTAGAATCACCGGGTCCGATGCCATTTTTATAAAGCCATTGGTTTGCTCACTGACGAGCTGGTACTCCGTTGTTTAGTTATGAAGGTAAGCGTATATATGGTGGGCAGCTGAAAGCCGCAGTCCTGGCAAACTGAAAGCCAGCTCTGATTACGCCATTCAGCCGCGACAGGCTTCAACACTAAGTGCTGGCTGGGCAAGGAGAAGGGGGCGAGCGAGCCTGCGCTTGGAAGCAGCGGCTCACTGTTAGGGACTGTCGCTGTAGCCCTCTTGAAGCGCAGCCCTTACTGAATTTTACTTTTGGGAGGGAATCTTGCACTTCAGGATAGGGAAAGCATGAAACGCCTTCTCTTTGGTGAAACGCCTTCTTTCCCTCTCTCTCTCAGGGAGCTTTAGACTCGCCTTCCAAGCTGAGCGGTGCCGTGGATCCAGCCCTGGGACAGCGGTTCTTTCTGTTCCCCTGATTCTGCCTCCTTACTTGGTTAGGCGAGCGCTGCCATTTCTTGCGATGCTGTTGTGCCCCAGCACCACGTAACCGCCGCCTTTCCTGTCGGATTCCTACTCAGCATGAAGTGAAAGGATTTAGCCCATCACCAGACAAAACACCAGGAAAATATTTAGTTTTTGCTAAGTTCAGGGGGTTCCTGATACAGCATCCGGATGAGAAAGGCAGCGTTTGAGCCAGCTCTGGAGAAGCCCAAGGGTGAGGTTCATTCGCGCTCTGAACACGCACTGCCACATGAGACCCATGCATTCATTTCTTAATCCTAAACCAAGAGGTTCAAAGCTCCAAGTAATCAACTGTGAGTTTAGAGGCTATAAATGAAATGTAATGTTCTAGCGGAAGTGGATGGCGATGAGGTGTCGAAGGCACCTGCTGCAAAGCATCCCATGGGACACCCGGAGATTGATTCGACTGCACTGTTTAAATGAATAGCCTGTGTTATATGGAGCCTTTTCTCAAGTTACTAACACACCAATATGTCATCTCTGCAGTTTGGCAATCGAATCTCATTGGAACAATGTTTGGACTCTGCAATAATGTGCATAGGTCTTCATCTCGCTTTGAAATTTTTTCTGAATTAAAATCTTCACTCACATGCAAAGGATTAGTCAAAACCATGGACCATGCACAGCATAATCCATTGATCTCAGTGGAATCAGTCCTGCTCTGCAAAGCTATAAGCAAAAGCAAATTTGGCCCACTTCTGAAAGCCTGCCATTAATACTTACATTTCCATATATCTTTTACAGTTGAACATCCCTTCAATATAAATTTACAGGTATACTTTAATTTAAAGTTGCAGCTCTCTCTTCCCACTCTAGTCTATTAAGAGGCAGGTTTCCTAGCACTGGAGGATTCACTGGAGAGCATCTGAACCCTCTCCAAGATCTCTTAAAAAGACTGCATAACAGATTTCTGGCAACGTTATTTCAGGAATATATAATTGAGTGGGCTTTTAAAAGCCTTCCCAGATATAAAGATCATATGAGGAACTTGATTTTGTACCTCTTAATCATAGCGTTCATGAGCAATGCATTGCTTTCTCATTGCTGCTGCTGCATGTGAAGAGTAGGTCCACAGCCGGCTCATGCCGGCTCTGAGAAGCTGCATGGCTTTGCGCCAGCAGATCTGGCCCGTTGGAAGCACACCGCAAACTTTCTATCGAGAGGCACAATCAGGGTGGCCAAGTCTAGTTCCAAGTAGTTGCGCACAACCATCTAATAGATTATAGTCCAGAAAATCTGCTCCTCCACTCTTGTACCCCCAAAGCCATCAAAGCCTCTTTAGAGTGCTACACTAAGCTTGAGGTCTTTAGTACTGGAACTTAAACCTGGCAAAACTGCAGCGCGCCACAAGTAGAGAGGGGAGACGAAAGGCTTTGCCCTAGGTTCTCGCAGTAGAGGAAGAGTGTAGATTGCTCTTACAGCAATACGTGTTAATAACCCCAAGTCATTTCCTGTAGAGACTCAAACCACCGTTACACTGAGATTTGAACTCTCTCTCCCCCACCTAAAAGACAAAGCTGTACGTTGAAAATCATCCTTTTTCACCATGTGTGCTAGTGCAGAGGAGACAAAGTACTGGCTCGGGGAAAGTTTTTTTTTTTTGTTATTATACAGTGCCTCAATCTACGCAG